GCATAACGATCGAACGATCGTTGATATTCGTTTGCTTTATTAATGACATGTTGAACACGATCTTGAATTTCGTGTCTAGATTCTAATAATTGTTCCATACCTTGTATATCCGGCTAAAGACAAAACAAGCAAAGGAAATAATTTTTTTTGTTGTTGAAGATGATCGATGGGATGACTGTATCTGATAATCAGTATGTCCCAAATGTGCTGCTAATCGTGTAATTAATGAAGCTTGCTTATAACTATTATTTATTAAGTTATCGACAAAATCGGCAAATCCATCAGATGCATTTGGCTCAATTGACGGTGTAAAAACCATATCGGGTGGCTAGAAGTAGAGAATAAACATATTCGATTTCGATCATGGTTAAAGAGGTTCTATCAAGAAATTTGCTAATATGGTCTATGAAGCATATCAGAATGCTACGTATATGACGAAATTTTTAATTTTTCTAAAACAAATTCACCCGCAGCTTTTTTATGAATTTTTCACGTTCCGTTTCAAGAAACTTAAAAGTCAAAATTACACCTAGATTTTAGCATAATTAGACAGAACACGTCAAATTACATATATTTTGAAGTTTTTACATTTTTAACCCTGATGCATCCACCTGGAGTCCATGCGGACCCCAGACGAAAACGAATGCTTTGAAGATATGTCTAACTGCTCTGCCAGATAACCAATGAGTGGATGCAATCAGTTCATATTGATAGTACACCCTATTGTCATTCAGTGGAATATAAATTGAAAGGGTAAAATCTAACCGTTGTGTTCAGGCAACATCCATATGAAACCGGTAGAATTTGGGCATATTATAGGTGGTCGGTTAAAATAAGGGGGGGAGGGGGGGTTAAAATAAACCCTCATTGGATTTAAACTTATTGAAAGAGTAGTTCTTGATAAAAAATTTTACAAAACTTCGAAATCATCAGGCTAAATATTGTTTGTTTTACGAACAATGTTCGAAAATACTTCCTTCATAAAATACTATCTTGAAGGTCGGATGGTACTTTACGAACTCATCAGTTTGCATCATAACAAAATCTAAACACAGTTTTGCACATGTCTATTGAAGCTCAAACGTTTACATTATTCATATCTCTTCGTTACCGATATACAAACTGATTTTTTTTGCAGTAAGAAAGTAAAGATTACCTCAATTAAGTCTTTAATTTTACTCTAGTTATAAAGCAATAATGTATACACCAAATTGTAGTACTCGAAAAGATAATTTAGATAGTATTTTTATACGTTTCACTTATTTGGTACAATAGGTGTAAAAAGTTTTCGTACGATTTTCTTTTTGACTGTTGCATTCGATCACAAGGGCTGAGAAAGACTAAAAATAGTAATTTTAGTAGCTAAAGATGTGGCTTACTTCTTCACTAAATCACAGTCATTTTACGAAAGACTGGTCGTACCTCGTTTCATCATTTTTGTAATTTTCGCTAGATTCTGTTTACCTCAGTCAGCACTGGCTTATCGTACAATGAATGGCATTTAATGAAGAAGTAAGCCACATCTTCAGCTACTCAAATCACCCTCAGCCATCGTGATCAAATGCAACGGGCAAAATGAAAATCGTACGAAGACTTTTTACGCCTACTATATATCAACTATTTGAAAAAAGAAGTTTTAAAGATGCGATTGTAATACTGAATTACTCTTTATTAGCGATAATTGATTAGGAAATAAAGTTTTTCGTTTATATGAACTCTTTGAAATAAATATGTGCAAAAACTAGAATTTTTTCATTAAGACTAATCTATAAGTAATATTTTTTACAATGTACATCCTGCTCAATATCGTAACTAATTCATAACTCTGTCAGAATATGGTTTAAAAATCTAAAAAGATATGTAATCTGATACACTTTATAAACCGGCAAATTTAAAGATCAAACGGATCCCTTTCTTTTAATAATATGAGCACAAATTATACCTGTACTTCTAACGTAATTTGAAATAATGGATCAGGATTATTTTTTGTATTTGTTTCTTCTTTAAAAAATCTAAATCACATTGAACAATCGCATAAAATCCATCGGTTACAATTTCATCGACATATTCAACGTAAGCTTTCCAATAATCATTATTCGTATCAACTTCAAGATATTGTTTATTTTCATTTAATAGAATATGTATTCGTTCACCGGCTTCACGAATTTCACGATAATGTTTATTTAAACGTTCATCCAAATCCGATAATATTAACAATGTTTCACCTTTTTCATGTGCACGTTCATACAACGGTGTTTTATTCCATGTTGACATAAGATTTTGAATTTCTTGTACATTATTTTTAGATTTTTGTAAACGTTGTTCAAGATCAAAAACTTTATTTCGAGTTTGTAATATATATTCACCAATATCTAGAAAAAGAAGAAGAAAAATAATTACAAAATACGAATAACATATAGAATGATACACATAACATACTAGATGTGGCCCATGTTAAAGTTTTTTCTGCTTTTTCCAATTGTTGATCAATACTTTCTACTTGTCGTTCAATTAGAGGATATTCAACTTCTGAAACTGTTTCACGAATTTTATTATACGAAGAAACGGTGTAATTTAAATTATTAATATACGCTAAATATGTGTCATTATGCTCGTAAATGTCTAATGCTGTTTTTGGTATATCTTTGCGATCTTTTATTTCTAAATATCTTACTTCACGAAGAACAGTTTCGAGCTGAAAAAGAAAAACAAAAGATAGAAAATTTTTAATTATTCAACAACAAATTTTGAGTTTACTTGTGGATGAAAATTTAAATTTAATAATTTATTTTTAGGATTTCGTGTAATCAAATGTTGATTAAGATTGAATTTTGATGCCTCAGCTACAGTGTCAGCCTATTCTTTGTATAAATTTTCAACGAATTTTCGTAATAATTCATTTAATTCTTCATATTTATCTTCGACACGTTTTGTGTCAGGAGAATGATTTATACTAAAAAATTTAAAGTAGTGAATACTATAATTTATCTCATAACAATGCTTTTGATAATACCTATTATCAATTGCTTTAAATTGTTCCATTGGTAATGTATACCGTTGTTTTAATTCATCTGCCCACATCAGACTTCCTGCCACTTTTGGCATATTCCGATTAAGTTGAATAGAACCATATTCTTGTTGAAATTCCATTTGTTCATCAAATATTTTCTTGGCATCATCCATTTCTTTATCTAATTGTTCCAAAACAATATTATAATTTTGTTTAAAATCATTATGAATAATTGAGCGCTCTAACAGACCACCAAACACGTGGATTAACTATAAATATCAGCCATAAAAAAATTTATCATGATCAGTAGTGGGTGATAGAAAAAAATTATAATGTTACCTTAAACATGCTTTCCAATCCATTGGTATCGGTGAACGCTTGACACGTTATTCGTCCTAAACGTCTGTCTAGATCAGCTATTCTATCACAAAAAATTTCATTATCAGAAATAAAATCCTTAAAACAAAAACAATATCGTATTTAGTTCTGTTCTACATGGGTGGACGATCAGCTCGATCTGAAACATTCAATAAATTGTGAAAACAGAAAGTTATTCTTCATAAAAAAAAAAATTTTCTATTTTGTTTCTCATTGATTCAGGGATGAAAACTGTTATCAGGGCTGCTGATGTAGTAGATGTAAAGAATGTATTTGATAGTAATGATCATTTTTTCTTGCTTATAGTAACACTATTCTTAAATATTTAGACTACATTTTAGGCTCTTTTAAATCTTTTTTAAAGTATAGATATCGTTGTTATTGTAAAAAAAAGCTTTTTCGTCGTATCACACTAATTCACGAGGGAACCTTTCGAGGTTATAAATCCCTTTTTGATCGACATCTAGTGGGTTATAGGTTATCGACCATGCTGATTCCGAATATGGTTATGGGACTTGCCTGTAGGCCTTCGAAGATTCAGTCTTCTAGAAAACCAGTTTTTCAGAAACCCCAAAAAATAACCCAATCATTTCTTAACAATGCAGGATTGTAGCGCACAAATTTCTGATTAAAATGAAACATACCCCAGCTCTACGCGATCTTTCCTTGCAAAGTTATAGAATTTACAAAGAACAGCCCTAAATGCTCAAAGCTACAGAAAAAAGAAGAAATTAGTTTAGGGTTTTTTATTGTAACTTTCTCTTAATAAGTTACAATTGTAGCCCACGAAGTTCTGATCAAAATGAGACATCTCCCACCTCTACGCGACCTTTCTTTGCAAAGTTATAGAATTTACAAGAAAAACCCTAAATTAATTTCTTCTTATTTCTGTAGCTCTGAGCATTTAGGGCTGTTCTTGCAA